ATCTTTTCCTGGCTTCCCACATCTAGACTTGTCTCCATCAGCCAGGCACTCTCCCAAGCCCAAACCTACCAGTGATCCTTCTTCTCTCTATTTTCTCATCCCTATATCCAATTCACCGAAAGCTTTGTTAAGTTTGCCACCAAAATACACCTTCAGGGTCTTTTCTCCTCCTTTGCTGCTGGCTCACTAGCCTGAGCTAGTTATCTCTTGCAAGAACTACTGCAACTATCCCCTAACTTGTCTCTGTGCCATCTCTCCATACTGTCTACAATCTATTTTCTCAGAAGACTGAGTTGCATCTCAAAAATTGACCTAGCCACTACCAACCTCTCTTATCCTTTGGCACTTCCCCCAATCACTCACTATTCTTTGCCATACTTGTCTTCTTTCTTTGTGCTACCATGCTAAACTAGTTCCTGCCTTAGGGCCTTTGCACTCACTGTTCTTTTGGGCCAGGGATGGTCTGCCCAAGTTTATCACTTGGCTGACCACTTTGAACACCTGCTCACAGAGGCCTCCCCTGATCACCCAATCTAAAGTAGTTATCTCCTTTCCCTGTGGCTCTTTATTACATCATCCCTTTTTATTGTCTTCGCAGCATTTATCACCATCTGGAGTTATCATATTCATTCATTCCTTGACTTGTTTACTCTATGTTTCTCTCCACTATTAGGTGAGAAACATATTCCTCCATGAATAGAGGAATTTGACTTGTTGACTACTGTACCTCTAGCGACTCATATAGCAGATCGTCAACCAATACTCTTTTTATGTGAAAAAGTGGTGAATGGGTGGAAGCATGCAAGAATGGATGAAAGTGCAGATGGTGGAAGAATCAGTGATGAAAGGATGAAAGGATAGATGGAAAGTGAATGGATAGATGGAAGGATGAATTGATAGATAAATGGAAAGGTGGATAGATAGACAGAAAGACACATGAATAAGAAGATGAGAGGACAGATGGATGGATGGAGAGATGGATGATGAAAGCATAGAAGGATATGCCAGGTCTGGTGGCTTACACCTGTAATCCTAGCACTCTAGGGGGCCAAGATGGGAGAATCCCTTGAGCCCAGGAGTTACAGACCACCCTAAGCAAGAGTGAGACCCTGCCATTACTAAAAATAGGAAAATGCAGGTATGGTGGTGGACACTGATAGTCCCAGCTACTTGGGAGGCTGAGGCAGGAGGACTCATTGAACCCAAGAGTTTGAGGTTGCTAGGCCACAGCACTCTAGCCTAGGCAACAGAGTGAGACTCTGTTTCAAAAACAAAAACAAAAGAAAAAAAAAAAGAATGGATGGGAGGATAGATAGGAAATGCATGGATGTATGGGGAAAAATATATGTAAAGATAATATGAATAGATGGCTAGATGGATCCATGTATCTGGAGCTGTTGGTTCTGCTCCAGAACTGATATGAAGGTCATTAACTGCATTACTGTGGCCAGAACCAAAAAAAAAAATAGAGAGAGAGAGAGAGAAGGCAAACAGAGGTAAAGAAACAAGGGAAATCTGTCCTAGTGCTTTTCCCATACCACTTTGCTGTAGCTTGTGTTTTTATTTCTGGTATGGTAAAAGGCAGTGCAGTGTAAGGGAAAGAGCCCTCAATTGGAAATCAAAAGACCTTTGTTTGCAGCACTCAATGACTTTGTATGGCTATGACCCTGAGCATATGGCTTTGTTTTTCTAAGTCTCAGTTTATCAGCCTTTCAGTCTTATAGTGGGGATAAAATGAGAAATGATGTTAAATGTATGAATGGCCACGCATGCAGAAGTGCATAATAAATGATCACCTCCTTCCTTCCTTCCACAATTGATTGATGAATGTCACTGGCATGTCTCGCTTTAAGCATTTTTCATGGCCTAACATGCACTCAGTAGGTGCCCAGTGAAAGTTTATTGACTTGAATGGCCAGGGATCCCCATTCATTCAACTAGGAAATCACAGGCAGTGGTAAGAGAGGGACACATAGTTTTTTGGCAAAACTAGTTAGTTCCTTAAGAACTAACTTGCAGGCTTGGTGCCCATAGCTCAGTGCTTGGGGCCCCAGCCACATACACCAAGGCAGGCAGTTTCAAACCCACCCCAGGCCTGTTAAACAACAATGACAACTTCAACAAAAAAATAGCCAGGCATTATGGTAGGTGCCTGTCGTTGTCCCAGCTACTGGGGAGGTTGAGGCAAGAGTATTGCTTAAGTCCAAGAGTTTGAGGTTGCTGTGAGTTGTGATGCTACCACACTCTATAGAGGACAACATAGTGAGGTTCTGTCTCAAAAAAAAAAAAAAAAAGAACTAACTTGCACAAAGGCTTCCTAGGAACCAGGTGATTCATTTAAATGGTATTGCATTTTCTGAAAACTGATTTGCATGCAACTTACTGGGACCCCATCCACTGGGTGCAGCCCTTCCCTTTTGCAATTCACTTCTAGTCAATGTCTTAGCTATGCTATTTTTTTTTTTCCACAGCACCCATGAAGTCTTTCCAGGGGCCTTTGATGAGAGGCCCAAGCCTTCCAGCTACTTCATAGGTCAGACTCTGGGCCCCAGGAACCCCTTGCCCTGGGCTTGCCCTCAGGGAATGATTCATAATTAAGAGAAAAGCCTTGTGCTTTATGTTTCTTCCTCCTCCTCTAAGCAGGAGGCAGGGGAAGGTGGAGGGGTTGGAAGGGGAATGGGGGAGCCGACTGGAGCCTGGGATTTTGATTGAGAGGCCCCATTATCCACACTCTTAAAAAAATAACCGAATCTTTTCCTTTTTTATCTTGACCAATCTCATTTCACGCTCCAGAAGAGGAAGGGAGAGAGGGAGGGAGTCCAGGGCCAGGAGGGAGAGAGGAGTCAGTATTCTGTATTTTCAACGCTGCATTAAGCACATCGCCACGGTAACCAGGCAGCAACAAGTGCCAGCTCAGCAGGTTCCCAGGGAGCACCGAGCTTTTTTCCTCCCCCTCTTTCTCCCTCCCCTTGCTCTGCCCAGGAGAGCCCAGCCCACCTGCCTCTGCACAGGGTGCCCAGAGTGGGCAGCTGGCAAAGATTAACCCCTACCAGGGAGGAAAGGAGGCAGGTCTGGGCAAATGTGCTGTCTTTGGGGTTAGAGACAGGGAGCCTGGGCCACGGCTGCCATGAGGTCACAGATGTCCTGATTTCAGAGTCCTTTCTAGAAGCTCTAGGTCCCCAGGCCCATCTGAGTGGTGAATGTGGTTCATTTCTACCCCATCCATCTCCTAGGGATGGCTCCTAAAGGAGTGAGACTTGCCCAAAGAAATTCTCATTGTCCTCATTTGTCTAGATCTCTACACCATGGATCACCACTGGATGATGACTGGCAGACAAAGAAATCCAATTGACTGGCATGCAGAACTCCTAGACAGTCCAAACGAGGAGAGAGAAACACTCCAAGCTTATCTCATACTCAGTAGTACCCTGAGAGTACCTAGATTCTTAGTTCTACTTAAGCAGGGTGGAGCGTGGACGGTATGTTTCAATCATTTCACCCTCCTCATTGTCACCATCAAGACCATTCATACTCAGGATTTGCAGCAGGGGTCACTAACATTTACCAGAGTTATATTCTGGGAGGTTGGGGTTGCTTAAGGGCAGGGCTAGTATTTGGCTGCGGCATTTTGCTGACCCTTGGAGGATGTTCCATTATGCTTACTGAATCCTGGAAGAAGTTGGGGAGTGGGGATTTGGCCACAGGTCTGTCTCAGCCCATCCCTTTTCTTCAAGGTGGGAAATGTGGGGGAATTGAGAACATAGAGACCAAGCTGGGGTGAGTTAACAACAAAGCCAGGTCTGCACTAGGGCACTGTCTACAGGCGTTTACAAGAAGATACCCACTGCGGTCCACCTTTCCGTGCTCTTTGGGAAATCTATTAATGGGATACAACACGCTTCTGTCTGCTCTTGTTGCTCCCTCCACCAGCCCTTCCTCTTTTCAATGCCCTCCCCTTACCTGCCACCATGCCTGCGATGGCAGAAGAGGCATAGCTGCCCTGTCCGCTGGTGGGGATGTGGGGTGGGTATCCGGGCAGCGTGGGCCCCACCATCTCTCGCCCTGGAAAAACACAGCAAACAGTCATCAGTTAGGCCACTGGGGGCTCCTGTCCTTATTGTCTCACTCTCCTCCCATGCTACTGCCACTCTTTCCAAAGCCAGTCTCCAAACGTCTTCCCAGCACCCTCCTCTGAGTCCAATGCTTGTGTCCTCTGGTCTTCCGCAGCTCTACCATGCAGGCAGCACTTGTTATTGCAGCCCTGTATTGTTCCCTGTTCCCCAGTGGTTTTATTTATGTGAATGTATTTTATTTATTCACAAAAATGTCACTGTATTAGAGGCTGGGGGCTATGTCTTCTGGTCTTTGTTATGTCCAATGACACCCAGCACAGCAGCAGGCACAGCTGCCCTCAACAAATATACTCCAGGTCACTTGGCTCAGAGCTCATGCTTTTTAGCCCCGGCTCTGAGGACAATCAAGAACAAGGCCCTGTGAACGGTGGCAGGCATACAGCCCATGGGCTGGTCACTATCCTTTTCATTCCTTTGACACACATTGCTAATCAACCACCACACTCTTTCCCATTCAGTGGAGGGAACTCCTGATCCCCAGCTGAACCTTCCAGGTGGATCAATCAGAGTTGCAAGGGGGCATGAAACCTATCAGCTATCCTTGCCCTAGGAAGGCGATTTGGCTGAGAGATATTTAGCTTTCAAATGTGACCACGAGCTATATCGCTCTCAATTTCATTTCTGAAAAGAACCATTTTTAGCAAACCAGACACAAATCTCTCTTGGTTTATCTACAATTTGTGAGAAAATTACTGTCTTGGTGATACCAAGGCAGCTCTGTAAAAACTCCATTTCTCTGGCTCTGCCTCTTCTCTACATCAAGAACTCAAACCTTCCCATTTTGGATACCACCACCTAACCTGGCAAGCTTCTCCCCATCTACCCATGTGCCAGAAAACATAATCCCTCACATACGCCCCTCTCCCAACACCCCTATGTTCTGTAGGCTCTGACCAGACTATTCCTTACCCAAAGATTCTTGGCAAGGTGACAGTACATCCTGGTTTTCCCCATGTCTGCCCAGATGTTGACCACTATCTTAGCATATTTATTTTAATAGTACCCATTTTACTGTAAAAATGCTCCAGTTTGAATGATGAATTATTTGGTCATCCTTGGTCTTGGTGATGTTTACAGAGTTTCTCAGTCTCAGCAGTATTGACATTTGGGCTGCATAATTGTTTGTTATAAGAGATTGTCCTGTGCCAAATAGGATGTTTAGCAGCATCCCTGGCTTCTATCCATTCTGTGTGGCAACCAAAAATGTCTCCAAACATTACCATATGCCCTTAGAGGGAAGAGTAGGGGTAAAATTGTCTCTGGTTGAGAACCACTGTCTCATATTATGACCATTTTATCCAAATGTCTTTTGCCTCTTCCATGTTGGGGATTGCTTTTTTCTCCAAGGACTTACATGGGCCACTGATGAGTTCCTGACAACGAACTTACCAAGTCCATCTTCTCTGTGGCACTACCTGCCCAACTTTTCTCTCATCAACACCTCTGGGGCCTTCATACCTCAGCCCCTTCAAGGGGTGCCTAGTAATGATGGAAGGGAAGGCATATACCATGAAACATGTAAGTCTTGAATGCCACAGTGACTACCTCCTCCTCACCTCTCTTTCTAGAGATTGCCTAAAGATAATTAATTCACTCAACAAATACTTACTGAGTAAGTACTATGAACTAGGCACTTTTAAAAACTACTGGGATATGGCATAAAGCAAGAATGCTCAATTAGCTAGAGCAATAAAACAAGAGAAAGAAATAAAGGGTATCTAAATTGGAAAGGAAGAAGTCAAATTATCCTTGTTTGTAGATGATACATATGATCTTACGCCTACAGAAACCTAAGGACTCCAACCCAAAACTATTAGAGTTGATAAACAAATTCAGTAAAGTTGAAGATAAAAAAAATCAGCAAACAAAAATCAATAGCATTCTGACATGCGAACAGTGAAAAATCTGAAGAAGAAACCAAGAAAGTAATCCCATTTACAATAGCCACAAATAAAATAAAGTACCTAGGAATGAGTTTAACCAAAGAAGTAAAAGTATCTATAATGAAAACTATAAAACATTGATGAAAGAAATTGAAAAGGACATACAACAATAGAAACATATTCCATGCTGATGGATTAGAAGAATTATATTGTTAAAATGTCCACACTACTGAAAGCAATCTATAGATGTAATGCAATTCCCATCAAAAAGACAGAAAAAATATTTTTTAAATTTATATGGTATTACAAAAGATCCAGAATACACAAAGCCATCTTGAGCAAAAAGAAAAAAACTGGAGGAATCATATTACCTGACTTTAAATTATACTACACAGCAGTAGTAACCAAAACAGCATGGCACTGGCATAAAAACAGACATGCAGACTAATGGAACAGAATAGAGAACCCAGAAATAAATTCACATCTCTTTAGTGAACATGTCTTTGATAAGGATGCCAAGAACATACAGTGGGGCAAATACTCTCTTCAATAAATGTTGCTGGGAAAACTGAATACCTATATGCAGAAGAATGAAATTAGATCCTTACCTCTCACCATATACAAAATCAAACCAAATGGAATTAAAGACTTAAATTTAAAACCTGAAACCATGAAACTACTGAAAGGAAACACTGGTGAAACATTTTGGGACATTGGTCTGGGGAAGGACTTCTTGAATAATACCCCCAAAGCACAAGCAACCAAATCAAAACTAGACAAATGGAGTAACATCAAGCCAAAAATCTTCTTCACAGAAAAGGAAATAATCCACAAAATGAAGAGACAACCCACAGAATGGAAGAACATATTTGCAAACTAAACTACCTGTGAGACAAGGTATTAATAACTAGACTATGTGAGGAGCTCCAACAACTCAATAGGAAAGCAATCAAATAGTCCAATAAAAAATGGGCAAAGGATCTTAATAGACATACCTCCCAAGAAGACATATATATGGAAAAATGCTCATCATTAGTCATCAGATAAATACAAATCAAAATGACAATGAAATATCATCTCACTGGTTTTTGATAAAAACCAGTTAAAATGGTTTTTATCAAAAAGGCAATAATGAATGGTCATTACCAGCAGCTGGGAAGGGTAGCAGGGAGAGACGGGTAAAGTAGAGATAATTAATGGGTACAAAAATATAGTTAGATAAAATGAACAATATTAGATAGCACAATACAGTGACTATAATCAGCAATAAGTTAGGCTATACTTCAAAATAATGAAAAAGGTGAAATTGGAGTGTTCCTAATACAAAAAAATAGGATGTGGAGAAAGAGGAACCCTCATGCACTGCCGGTGGGAATATAAATTGGTGCCACTGCTATGGAAAACAGTATCAAAGCTCCTCAAAAACTAAAAATGGAACTACCACCTGGGTGTGGTGACCCCTGTCTTAGTTACAGTTAGCTCATCCAGAGGTTCCCATGGCTCATGCCTGTAATCCTAGCATCATAGGAAGCTGAGACAGGAGTATTGATTGCTTAAGGCCAGGAGTTTGAGGCAAGCCTGAGCAAAAGTGAGACTCCATTTCTACAAAAGATAAAAGAATCACCTGGATATAATGGTGGGCAACTGAAGTCCCAGGTTACTGAGGGGCTGGGGCAGGAAGATTGCGTTGAGCCCATGAGTTTGAGGTTGCAGTGAGCTATGATAATACGACTGCACTGTAGCTTGAGCAACAAAGTGAGACTTTGTCTCAAAAAATCCAAAACAAAACAACAACAACAACAAAAAAATAGAACTACCACATGACCTAGCAATCCCACGGCTGGGTATATATCCAAAGGAAGGGAATCTAGTAAACCAAAAAGGTATCTGCATTTCCATGTTTATTGCTGCACTTTTCACAAAAGCTGAGATATGGAATCAACTTGAGTGTCCATCAGCAGGTAAATGGATAAGGAAATTTGGTACATATACATAATGGAATATTATATAGCCACAAAAGGAATGAAATCCTGCCTTTTGCAACAGCATGGATGGAACTGGAGAACATCACGTTAAGTGAAACAACATCATGGTAAGTGAAATAAGCCAAGCACAGAAATACAAATCTTGTATGTTCTCACTCATATGTGGAAGTTTAATATGAAAAACAATTGAATTCATGGAGACAGAGAGGAGAATGATCACTACCAGAGGCTGGGAAGGGTAACAAGGAGGGAGGGGTAAAGTAGAGGTGATTAATGGGTGCAAAAATATATTAGATAAAATGAAAATATTTGATAGCACAATACAGTGATTATAATCAACAATAAGTTAGGCTATACTTCAAAATAATGAAAAGGGTGAAATTGAAATGTTTCTAATACAAAGAAATGATAAATGTCTGAAGTGATGGATACCCTAATTACCCTGATTTGATTAATTCACATCATATGCCTGTATCAAAACACCACACGTACCCTATAAAGATGTGCAACTATGGCTCGGTGCCTATAGCTCAAGCAGCTAGGCGCCAGCCACATACACTGGATCTGATGGGTGTGAATCCAGCCTGGGTCTGCCAAACAACAATGACAACTACAGCCAAAAAATAGCCAGGCATTGTGGTGGGCAGCTTTAGTCCCAGCTACTTGGGAGGCTGAGGCAAGAGAATCACTTAAGCCCAAGAGTTGGAGGTTGCTGTGAGATGTGATGCCACAGCACTCTACCCAAGGCAGCTTGAGACTCTGTCTCAAAAAAAAAAAAAAAGATGTGCAATTATTATGTACCCATAATAATTTAAAAAATTAAAAAATTAAAACCCCAAAGACAGAAAATTAAAATCAAAAGCAAAAAAAAAAAAAAAAGTTTAATTAGCAAGGCCAGAGGCACAGGCCAAGAACAATCGGAGCTAAGCCTAGGGGCTGTCAATAAACAAGATCAGGCATCCTCAACGCTGTGCTTCCCTTAGATCAGTGGTTCTCAACCTTCCTAATGCGGCTTTTAAATAGAGTTCCTGTGGGTTGCGACCCACAGGTTGAGAACTGCT